ACTGGGCTTGAATTTGACTTATTGACTAAATTGAATTAAATATTGAACGGTTGAGCTAATCATTAACTCGGCTAAAATTCTCTGTCGTCACACTCGACTGCAAGAAATAATGAGCTACACAAAAGAACACAGTAGTTTCAGCAGTCAACATAGCTAAAGGCTTGATGCAGAACACTGAACCTGCATCAGCACTGACTAGATCCTGACAACTACAAGTATTGAAGATTCTGGTACGTAGATTGAAGGATCAATCGGTATAAGCCCATAACTTTGCTACTCTCTTTATATCAGTGGAAAAGTCACTGAGTTACACCACGAGGCTCTAGATCTATTGATTTATCGTTTTAAAAAACGTCGCTACAAATCCTGGGTAACACTATAAAGAAAAAAGTCACTTTTATGGCGATTCTTTTTACGCAGTAGAGAAAGTGCATGAACTAAACGAATCAAAGACACTCGAGCAAAAGGCGACTGAAACACGGCTCTAGTAGCAAGCCTGGCTTAAATGATTAAAACACTACAGTACTGAGCTGATCGTTTACGTTTTTTAATCATTAGGAAGAAAAAAGTGATAGAGATAAAGGTGTATAGATAGTGGGGTAGGAACGGCTGCCAAATATTTTCTCGTTGCTCGTTGATGGCTTTATTCATTGGGTTCTTTTGTTTCGCAACACAATGTTGTACCCGATTTCACATTATCGAGAACATTGGATCCTTTCACCTATGGTTTATCAATCGAAGTGTTAGCGACAAATTCACACCTTCCTGGAAAAGGAAGATTATTAAAACCTCACGATGTAACTTGAAAATATTAATTACTACCTGGAAATATACCTGGAAGGCGAGTTTAGTTTGGAGGTCAATTGAGTATTTCAATAACATACCTTCAAGTTTTCCTGTACAGCTTGAGCTTGGAAGGGTCGCGAAGCTTGACCAGAGATTCCAGGAAGTACCACAATCCAAGAAAAGTTTAGCCTGAATTTGACTTGGCCTTGAATATACAAGCTTCCAGGTAGCGTCTACCCCATCAATCTAGAATAACAACCATACTAAACAGTTATTATGCTACAAATACTTTTTCTGGATTTTTTCCGCGCATGGCAAGTAGAGGTGAGGCCATTCCGTGACCAGAGACACCATTTTTTGCGACAATTTTCCCCCGGGGAGGAAAGGACAGTTGTAGCGAGCGTCCAATTTCTCCTCCAATTCCTTTTATTATACAAGTATGATTTCATGGATTCCATAAAATTAAGTTGTAACGAGGCTTATGGGTTCAAAGGTTTTTCAGTTATAGCTTGGAAAGACCCCGCCAAATACCTGACGATTGCGAATCCGATTTAGATGAAAAAAACGTCTCTTCCCTCCCCCCGTAAAATAACCTTGTTTCTACCTTCAGGCTGTTTGGCGGACATGTAGTTAATTGGAATTTGCAGCCCTTGCACGAAAGTTTAAAACTACTCTTCCACACGGTCCTTGGTTTGTGACAAAGCCAATCTAATGGACGAAAACAAAGTCTTGACATTCTTTCGCATGGTTCGAAAAAAAGGTCAAAAACTTGGCTAGTTTGCTGCCAGACCAAAGTCCAGATCCTTTGATGGAATATAAACATGGTTCTTGTTTACATACCAGGCAAATTAATATAATTGATTTTTTTCTTTAATGTCTTAGGAGTTTGCATTGACAATAGTTTTCAGTTATATTGGCTTTCTTTGTCGAACTGAATGATAATTGAAAGAAAGTAATGAAATTTTGCGACACCAATCACCAACACATGGAATTTTGGTTTAATACTGACAAGCTGTTAGGAAAGGTACGCTTTTATTGGGAGGCTGGGAAGGTTGGGACTTCATAGGGGAGTACCATTAGTAAAAATTTGAATTTTTGTGTAGGGACAAGCCCGTACATTTTCACGAAAGCTGTTCATTGTTGACTAAGGCCCCGTCCACACGTATCCGCAAATTTTTTTTTGCGGATACGAAAATGTTTGCGTCTTCACGCAGCGTATTCGAATCGTTTTCACCGTCCACATGTATCCGTTTTCGTAAAATTTGCGGATACGGACACAAAAATTTGCGGACACGTGCGGACGCAACCCGTATCCGTTAAAAAAAAATTTGCGGATACGAAAATTTGCGGACACGTGTGGACGGGGCCTAAATTCTTCGAATGCACGTCGAGTCATCGCGGCCATGTTGGTACCATTTAACAAAAGATTTCTCATTAGCATCCATTGTCAACGGTACCACAATGGCCGCCATGTTTTTGACTTTTAACTCTCTTGGGAATGCTTGCAACCCATCAATAGGACAGTCATGGATTTCGTACGGAGTGAAAGGTTGAGAGCTACAACTATTTTAAAATAGTTTACTGTGAATCCCCTAGCCTGCGTGCCTCCGAACGTTTACTCGTAAGAAAATTCCGGATGCAGCGCAGGCTATGAATCCCCCAGTCTTCCCTTTAAATAGAGTAACGTAACATTTGTACACATTTGTCTACCACAAGCAATAATTCCAACATCAACAATGTAAAAGAATTTTATTTATCTTATTAATGGAACAACAAAGTCATAAAAATTGCATAGCTACTGTGTAGTATTATTGTTGTAGTTCCTCTACACGTCTAACGCTTGGCCCTAAACAAAGACAACAAGTACAACACATTAGTAATCCATTGGGAAATCTGCTAATGGAAAATCATGCCCTGACGTAAATCAGCTAAGTGGGTGTTTCCGGGTTCGATCTGGGAGTTAGCCGTGCCCTGACTTAGATCAGCCCAGAGGTTGTTTCAGTGTTCAATCTGTGATTTAGCCGTGCCCTGACTTAGATCAGCCCAGAGGTTGTTTCAGGGTTCTATCTGTGAGTTAGCCACGCCCTGACTTAGATCAGCCCAGAGGTTGTTTCAGTGT